TTTCATCAGATCTGAAAGTGTGCACCGAATTCCCTGAAGGGTTCAAGTAGAAACATATTTCATTGACTTCAGTATCACAGAAATATAAGCTAATGGTGCTACCTTTGTTGTATATGACAAATAAAACCAATACCAGAAAAAAAAATATCACTGCATGTACTTTCATTTCTGGGAAGCAGAAGCATGTTGCAATATATAACATTTCAACAGTACACAGACAACACTGCAGCACATAGGTTAAATTTGTATATAGACCAGATTATACTAAAACACAGTAGAACAAAATTATATTTGAAAATGAGGCTCTTATTTAAATTGACTCAAAGTGACCCATGAATCTAAATATTCCCAGAAGATAGAAAAATACAAGAAGTCACAGCAGAAAGGAAAGATATTATGAAGTGTTCATAGATTTAATATTTGCAGTCCAGTGTCTTTATTATACTCACACAAATCAGAGCACCCATAACATCAACAGGTAAACTAAGCAAAAAAGGGATTTGTTATCTCAATTTGGTACCTTGGGAACTGCTGTACATAATGACTCCATTTGTTGCTTGTGGTTACTCACATATAGCATGTGACTGAGTCACAAACTGAACCTTTTTTCCTCTGCTGCTGACAAATGTTTTAAATAAACCATCCTTCCTCCAACTTCTGTGTTAGTAGTAAATTGAAATATCCAGTGCAGTAAGCCTGAGTCATAAACCCAGTCCTCTACATTCTTGCATCATTATTTTTTTTCTAAATGCAAAAACTAGGAAGGAAGCATACTCATCCCCATAACTTTTAAAGAAGTATCATTATTATTATGATTATTATTTCATATTTTCACTGTGAAGAATGCATTTATGGGCTGCACATTCCATCAAGGCAGTAGGATAGATTAACTCACTTGAGCTAGTCTCGATCTGAGGTTATATCCCAGAGGATATCAATGAGCATCTCTTCAAATTAATAGATGAATTTTTACTTCAATGAATCAACTTGTCATTGTTTGACTTTTTACAGTGCTGTTTAATCAAAATGTTTTCCATGAACATTTTATATTCTCTGTCTGGGAAGGAAGGATACACAGATTCTATTTTCAACCACAACTACACTATTTTATCAGCTCTTAAAGAAATGGAATTTGCAAGTGCTTGGAAGGACATATCAAAGGAGACAGGTCTGACCATGACTGTCACTACCAAAACTGCATTCCTGTGATGTACTCTCCTCAAAGCTTTATTCTTGCAATGACACAAAGTTAGAGCTCTCTCTTTTCACATTAGCGAGGACTGGAAAGCTGCTTGCCCACATGGCTACTGCAGTTTGCCAAGAGCACTACCAAGCACAAGATGCAATATAACTAAGTTGTTGTCTGCCTGCAGCATTCAGAGTCCTACATGTATTTCATGGCCTTTCTACATAACCCCAAACTTGGATGGATAGTGTCAGGTAGTGCTGACCTCTGTTCAACAGCTACTACTTTTACCATGCCTACTTTTCTGTAGGACAACTTCAATGATTAGTACTTCTTAATAACTTCACGAATAAGTTCAGGAGATGAAAACTGCTAAAATACCACACAGTAGAAAAAGGGGAAGAAAATGCATGAGACAAACTTTAGCTAGGTCTTCTGAATTTGGAAAATTGTGAACTCTTCTTTCCCCCAGAACTGCCTTGTTAATGTTTGTATCTTGACTGATGCAAATACAATTACACGTCCTGCCCTGGGATACCGGCATGTAATTCCTATTGGCAATGGGAAAATTAATTTTGTACGGCATTGAGAACTGTGACCACTTATGGAAAGTAACATCTGACTCTTGAGGTTACATGGTCATTTCTAATTTAGTAGAAAGGGGCACTACATTAGTGAAAATAGAGAAATGTAAGGATTGCAAACCCAACCAACTCATCCCATCCATGGGCCCTACAAATTCCAGAGGTAGAATTGATCCATTATCCTCATATCATGTGTTTCTGGCCCATCCATTCTCTGGAGCACACAAGGATGTGCACTTGTATAACAAGACAATTCAAATTCTTATCTAGAATCACTGAAATATAGAATGTTAAGGGGTTGCAAGTGACTTTAAAGATCATCTAGTCTCAAGTCCCCCCCCATCACGGGCAGGGACACCTCCCACTAGACCAGGTTGCTCAAGGCCTTATCCAGCTTGGCCCTGAACACTGCCAGGCTTGGGTACAAGCCTGGACCTTATCTAGCTTCTAGTAAATACCGGTTCAGCTGTTCTAACTCAAACTGGCTCATCCTAATAAATGTAAAACAGGTATGGACTTAGAACTCTGCTTCCTGATTTCACAGAGAATACTCACTCATTTAACATAAGTGAAAGAATGACTTAGTCTGACCTAGAAGGCTGAGAAACCAGTAGTCATGCCCACTGCACTGCTGGGGCCAGTGCTGCCAGCCTGAACAGAAAGCAAAGCACAATAAAAACTCAAGGTCAAGTACTCTCTATAAAGGTTCTTATGGTTCCACTGGCAATTAAACTTCTATAACAGAGGAAAGATTGTAAATGTATTGTTAAAGGGAAAAGGTGGCCACCTATCTCTCATTTTTTTTCCCCTCTTTGTGTTACAACTTTGTCATTGGAAATAAAGTCTATGCTGCCTGCAGTTGGCTTTCTCTCTCTTTTTTTCGGCACAAGAACTTGATGAAATTAAGTGCTGCTTTTCCTGTGTTGGCAACCATTGCACGATTTGTAATAAAATCATGGTTAGGCTGCACTCATTAATTGAACTTGTAGGTAATAGTATAGTCAGTTAAATATTACCACTGCATAGTAAAGAAGTTTCCCTATCAGTTGTAAAGTCCAGTGTTAGTACAGGTAAGCAGTACTCTTAGACTATGTACAGAGCTTAAAAAAATTAATATCCAAAGGAGAAAATTCTGAACACCAGTACCCTTGAAAAGTAAGCTTTTGATTCAAAAATTAGTGAAGTTATATGAAAATAAGAAACCAGTTGAAAACTATTTCCCTCCTAAACATGAATGATGGAGATAGAGTAAAATTGCATTAAAAAAGATTCATCACAATTAAGATTGAGGGGAAATCTGGGTTGTAAACTATGTGATGGTGTCCTCTTTATTTACCTGATTATGGAAAATTCTTTAGCTAATCACATATCATCCTGTCTGCATTTGATAATTTATTTATTTTAAAATACCCACATTTCAGAAGGATTACTTTCATAGGATTTTCAAGAAAATTTTGGAAAAAATATGCCAGTTGGGCACTATTTTTTTCCACCACTACTGCTGAAGAGTCCTCAACTCTCCAAGAACATGCCAGCTTACCTAGAAATTCAGCAGTTGTCATCTGCAACACTATAATATATTTCAAAATGTAGTTTTTACTTAGTTAAATATGCTCAATACGTAATACAATTAACCACACAAAATGACAAAGAAGATGAATTAGCCACAGCAGAAAGTTATTATTAACTTTTTAAAATTAATAATATTGTTTATAGGTTTCAAATTGTAGTCTTCATGGTTGTAGTGTTATTTTTTGAATGACAAATTTGCTTCTGTGAGTATTGTGTTTCACTTGACAAATGAGAATGTTTTATTCTTGCCTTGATTAAAAAAAAAACAACGCCAAAAACTCCTCCTCATGCCCATGTTGCCAATAATATCTGTCACATGTGTGCAGTAGATGCAATACTGTAGGATTTTGCTTCTTTTTTATCCTGGATCTCTGGCACTAATGAGCATGTACTGGGGTTATAATAAGTATACTCTTATGCTAATGACCTTTCCAGACAGTGGGATTTAATCTCAAAGTTATTTGTACTTGCATTTCCATTTCAGCTGTGATGTTTCTCAGTATTTTTAGAGAAACCTAACTCACAATAAATCTCACATAAATGTAATGGTTTTGATTTTTTGCATACAGATAATAATTTTTAAATGGTTTTCTACACCTTCCTTTCTTATCAGTTGCAAATGGAACTCTTGAAACTAAGAATTTAAATTTATTTAACATCAGCTTCCAAAAGAAAAGGGAAACACTTGAACATCTTTTTTTTAGGTGGATCTTCTCAAAGCTCCATTCTTTAACGTTATGAAAGAAAAAACCTACAGTAGCATTGACAACAACTCAGCTTTCAAAGAGTATCCACTCATTACCATATAAATAGCACAGACACTTACTCAGTATACCTTCCTCTGCCTATCATTTCTCTGTCAAGCCTTTAAGTTCAAAAGGGCACCCATTTTTTTTTCCCCCAAACCAGAAGACCCATTTTATGTCTACTAAGCAATTATTTTATGAGGGAAGAGTAATGGAACTTCAGTCCATTTTAAATGATATACTGCCTGTCAGACAAGTAGATCTGTTCTGAAAGTCATGGCCCTGACAGTCGGACATGACTTACGTGACTCTGCTTAATTCCATGTCTACTGTCAAAATAGGTGAACACTGTCAACAGAAAAAAACTATTCTCGAGGTTTCAGAATATTTTGGATATAGAGACCATCAATTTATGCAGCAACAGACAAACATGTATGCAAGACAGTATGAACTTTCATTTAAATTCCTATAACACACAAACAAAATTTCCTAGTTTATATGTTTCCTCTGTTGCCCTATTGCATTCTAAATCCCATTATAGTATTATATAATGCACAATATTGTGAAATATGAGGCAGATCAAACTCCCTCTGTTGGACATCAATTTAAGCAGCATAGAAAACTGCTTTTTTTCTTCTTTAAAGTTTTGCTTTCTAGAACTGCTGAAGAAATAAGATTATTATTATTCCAGAGCTAGTGTTTATGGGAACTACAACTTTGAAACACCTCTTTAGAAATTAATTCTGCAATATATAGTTGAATTTCTCAGCAATAATGCAGAAGACACGAACCAAGCAACAGGAAGATTGCTACAGACCACCTCTTTACACCTTGTAAATGGCCTCAGTAGCATTAATTCATATTGTCTATTGCCACTAAGAAAACAGATTTGTTCATCTCCACCCTACTTACATGGCACTGTGCGGAGGTAGAGATTGTCTCTTATGATCTGCTGGAGCTCATGGTCCACCGAGCCTTTCTGGAACCGTAAGTTGAGGTAGTGACGAAGGTCCTTATCGACAATGCCTCCTGTCAGGGAAAAGACAAATGAAAGCATGATTTAAAATTATATTGCCTTGATGGAAGCAATGAATCACTTGTGAAGTCTTTGTGGCTCATTTTCCTTCATGTTTCTGTAATGATGGAGGACAGAAGCACAAAGAGCTTTCTGGTTAAGGCATGAAATTGGTACCATATTATTAACTATTGATAATTGTAAAGGTTAAAAACAGTTAATGAAAAATAACTGGCTACATCTCTACAGTTCAGAAAATACATATAGGGTTATAGATAGTTTCAAATTTTTTTCTACACAACTGGAACATTATATTAATAATTATGTAAATATTATATAATTACCTACATAAGTATCTAAATAACACATTATTAGGTATAATACATTATTAGGTATTATGTTTCCCATGGCCTTGTGCCAATTTCCCACCTGCTTATTAAACCAAAAATCCTGGTTCAAAATGTTCTGCAATGTTCAGTTTTCAGTCCATGTGTAACTAGAATAAAGTGTGGTTGTACTTAACGATCATATAAATGTTATATAAAATTTTGCTATTTATTTCTAATAGACCTCATGTCTGAAGAAGACATTATCACAAACAAGGGTTCATATTTTATTTCCACCACCAAAAAGAGTTATTAGTAATACAACAACTCAGCATAGACCTGTAAATGTGGAAAAAATTGAATTATTTGCCACTTCTACTATAACTTTAGGACAAAACAATTTAAACTACTGTTTAGCCAATGACTGGTGTATTACGTTCCACTATGAAAGGCTATATCTATATCTACAAATCTAATCCAACACAATTAATAAGCATCTCCTGATATAGTTCTTCTATATTTCTTTTCATGCTGAATATAGATCACATTTATAATTACGGAGAAAAAGTCCATAAATAACTCAATTTCTTCCCTCTCTGATATTCTGACATTACAAAAGTATAGAAAATCATTACTACTCTGAGTTCTGACATATAATCCCCAGATGAAAAATTGCAAACAGATAGATCCCTGACTTGTTGCTTCACACATTCAACCTTAAAACATTTTTCAAATGGCATTTGCTATTGAACCCTCTGCCAAAAGTCATACTGACTTAGGCTATATAAAGATTTTCCTGTAAAAATGAGCATATAGCATTCCTACCTAATTATTTGAAAGTCACTGCAGAGCACAAATGGTTATAAATGAAAATACATTTGTCCTTACAGCTATTCCTATTTATCTGCCAATTACAAGTCCATAATCTTATTATTGCTGCTCTTTGTCAATAACTTCAAAACCTTTTGTTCTAGGTTTATAAAAAGCTCATAAATAATTTCTCTCATCTCTAGCTAAAGGCAAAAAACCACTAAAATTTCATCATCAAAAGGGCAAAAAAAAGCACACCCCAGCTCATAACAGACACAAAGAAATACCTGTAAGCCCAGTTCACAGAGGCTGAGAACTTCCATAAGGATCTCTGTTCTTCAAGGATCCCAGCTGAGCCACTTGGTCTACTTCTTTGTACCACTAACACTGTTTAGAGCAGTGGGCTCGGTTTGCAGACCAGTCCATCCTTACTTCTGCTAATTTCTTGAGAGATTTCAGAGGAGGCAAGGCAAAGGCTAGAGGAGGCTGCAGAGGGATGCTCTGAATCTGCTGTCCTTTCTGATCGGCTGCAGAGAGTAAAGGTCCTGCAGCCCTTGCTCTTCTCTCTCTAATATACAGAACATGCCCAATGATGCAGATGCTTTCTGGCAGCCTGAGAAAATGCCAGCTCAAGAACAACAGCTGTAGCCTGCCCACTGACACAGACCTGAATCACTCAACTTATAACTTAAGTAACTTTAGGAACCTACACAGATTTCTGACCCTCAGAGTGCATTTTTTATTTACAGCTTTTTGCCTCAAACACAGACATTTAGTTCATTTAGTTCACCATGTGTAATGAATGCACTAAAACCTCCTAAGTACTTCATAAAAAAAGTCACCTGATATTTTTGGCAAATTGCATATTCCAAACTGGAGTACAAAAATGTATATTTACAGGAGGAGATGCCTACAGCCCTGCATTTGTTACCTGCAGATTCAAAAGAAAGTTTCTAACAGAAATACAACCAGTACATGGTGCAGAGGAAAAAAAAACTTACCATCTTCCAAGCACAATGGAAAAAATATGATTTTTTCCCTAATATCTGAGTATATACTGGAAGATCAGCAAAGTCAATTTTAAAGAGCAGTCAGATGAACTACAGACAAATTTTCTTCTTCGAAAGTCATTCTGTTTTCTGAACTAAACTGGTGGTTTTTTACAATTCTTTGGGCATAAGTTACCTTTTTTTTTTTTTTAAACCGGTATAACAACTACTTTTTCCACCTGGATATTAAAAAAAAAAAAAAAAGAAATAGTTCTAGAGTCCTGAAGAGTAGTTTTTATCTTTAGGTCATCCTTCCAACTGTCATTCTGCTTTTCTCCCCTTAAAAACTTTGTAGCTTTACCTGATGCTTTTTAAAAGCACACTTGACTCCAGATGTGCTTTCGTGCTATTTATAATACTTGAGCTTTGGAGCAGCCTGATCCTTTGAAAGTACAAAGAGAATAACACTTTGTGTGTGCAATTATGGGTCCATAAGACTTTTTGTAAGTAAAATATAGTGAATTGCAAGTACGTAAACCAGCCTTGATTCAGCAGCAGTGAATTACAGCTTGTGTTACAGCATGTATAAATCAAGAATAACATGAGTAATAATAATAGGACTATGTCTTCCAAACAGATGAAAATAAGAGATAGAAAATATTATCATTTGGTTTACTTTGGAGGGAAAGAAGAAATTTCATGGCATTGTCAATAAGTTCATAGAAAAAGAAACAGGGAGAAAGTGTTTTTAGAGCCAGTGACTACCACTGAGTGGTCCCATTCAACCCAGTCAGTTTCTGACTTGGTTTCTATACAATTCAATGTCCCTTTATTTTCTCTTTTTGCAGTACATTGAAAACTATTGAGACAGTGAGAAATTCCTGACACGAACCTAACCCATTCCTTTTCCATTATTCCCAGGCAGCCCACAGCAGAGCAGTTCAGAACAATGCTCAGGGACCACAGGTGTCCACGGCACTGTGGCACAAATGCACAGTGGCTCACGAGGTGGAGCTCAGAGAGAAGGAGCCCACCAAGGCCACAACCTGCTCACCACATGTGACAGCAAAAGGAAGCACTGTAGTGTGTCAGAGGAATTATACAGCTCAAGCTTTAGAAACCCAACCCAGAGACCATAATTTAAAGGGTTCTTTGGCCATTGCCATGAGAGGAGGCTGACAACTGTGTGATGGAGCATGCACTGGCTTGCAGCCATGCAGGGCATCTATTTTTTTTTTTCTTTTAGCTGGCTTGGGGCCTGTGCACTGTTTCAGTTTCATTTCACTCCAGTGAATCCCTTTGCTTTGCTAGCTGGGAAAGATAGGATGTGAATTAAATTACTTTCAGTAATGATCTCTTGCATAATGTATGTCTGGTTTAGGTACAGCTACCAATCATGATGGCAAACTCATAACCATGACTGAATGTGATTCCAGATATTATAAAATTAGATACACTTGGATGAACTAAAAAATGCTCTTTTTGCATGTTATACTTACGAATTTAATGAGTAAAGTATATCTTTTTACAGTGTTTTAGTGCATTTCTGTCAAGTTTCCTTCCCTCTATAAAATCTATTAGCAAAGTCCATTCAGAAAAAAAAAATAATAAAGAATATACAGGCAAATACTTTGTAGCTCATTAGAGGATTCAAAACTGAAGAAGATAACTGCCATTTCTGAGAAAATGGCAGGGATAAGGGTTTATAGTTTTTTGCAGCCTTAAATACTGTTATTTTGTAAGTTCCTATTTGGTAACCTGTTGATGCTGCAGCTAGAGTCTACTCTTGTATTTTATTTTTCATGAAGGACTAATTCTAAACACAAACATTCCTCTTGTTGTTCCCTCAGTGTTAGCTCTAAATAATTTTTCTTACCCTTAACAAATTTTTATGGTTATAACTTTTCAACAAACACTTCTGAGTATTCACCCATTAGTATTTTCTCATCTTGTATCATAACCTGTCAGTGAACTGTCTTGCTAAAATGTGGTGTGGTAAATTATTTGGTTTTTAATAGCATAGTCAATTGCATCTCAGACAAGAATAATTTGCCTTAGATATTTTATTTGCTGGTATTAAGATGTAAAAGATTTCAGTTCCCTGGCTCCTATAAATACTCCTGGTTAGAAATATCTATAAGCAAGCAAGACTGTTAGAGCTATATTTGCATCTGTACATGACCTGCGTCTGGGGAAATGAAAGGTAATATCTTGGCATTGTTACCCTGTGAAAGCAGACAAGCTTATAAACTTTCAGTATAAAGTACCTCTTCTCTTCTACTGCCTGACTTGCATCAGTCTAGATCTTCCTTTGTTTTCAACAAACTTCCATTTTTGACTGTAAATATAAGCCATATATTTGGCCAAGTCAAATGCCTTGAATGACCAGGCTTTCAGTAGCTTCAGCAGAACTCTTCCACTGGACAGTCTCAAGTATTTACTCAGGTGGTACCTGGAGCTTTATATCTGTACTATGGTATGGCTCCATGGACATCTGACAACAGCTCGAGTTTCTTCACAACCTCTTCAGCAGAGGTCTGCAGTAGAAGACATGCAGTTTGGTGACTGCTAGATTAACTTATCTTTCATCATTCACAGATGATCTAACTGACCTTTCAATCAGTTGCCTAAATTAAGACCTGGATTCTTTAAATCAGCTATCAGGAACATTTGATTTTTTAGTTCTTTTCTCTACCAAAGAGATAAAAAAGTCCTTTACCTGTGAGGTGGGTGCAAAATATTTTTTCTGTGATTCTTTCTGGAATGAAAATCTTAGCCATCACAGATAAAAAGCTGTGTAAGGATCTAAAATACCTGAAATTATCCTACAGAACCCCTCTTAGTCATTCCAATAATTTCAGTGACACCATGTCCACTTATCTATAAGCA